TACATAACCTTCCCTATACTACGTTCGTATACAAGAAAGTAAAAATTTCTACGATATAATTTAAAACATTAAATGTATTGTAAATTGTATTTTTTGATATTTAAATTAGGTTTCAAAATAATTCACAAAAGTATTTCTTACAAATAAAGTGGTTTCCTTCTTATTTTCACTTCCACGCTATGTAAAGTTAGTCAAGTCTATTAAATCATTAACATCGTCAGGAACGCTGTTCTTCATTTGGCAAACTATGTAATGCAGAATAGAAGTAGCTACTACTCGTATTACACTTTTAACAATATTAAATTTTACATTTATTCCTGTAGCTAAGACAGGAAATCGCCTTTTCCTCACTCCATAGCTTTGTTCCACACAACTGCGCATCCTGATGAGTAATTCGTTGTCTAATTGTAGTGGTCTTGTTTGTTTTGAGAAAGGTGTTTTTAAATAAGGTCTTTAAGCATATCACTTGTCACCTACCAACACCAAATTTTTAAACTCCCTGCTCTCAAATCTTCTTCTGATTTTGGATTTGGCAAAAGTTGAAGAATCATGTGTACTACGAGGCCACCTTTAAACAATATTGAGAATTTTGAGGTCATCATCATACATTGTTTGAACATTCAAAGAGAAAACTTGTTTTCAGTTTCTTTATATTTCAGCATCATATCCCCCTGCAGTCTTGATTCGAACATGTGTACTATCAATGCAACCACCTAGGAAGCATCTATCAATGCATGCACCTAGGAAATTTTGCGATGTCGTAAAGTTTCTGTTTCACAGTTGTTAACTCTTTTTCCTCTGGAAACTATATGTACTGTTTAGCCAATGCTATGAAAACATTGGCATTTATTCGGCTTGCTGTGGATTTATTCTTCTTAAGTCAGCAGCAACAAACACCAAACTTTCAGTAGCATAGTACCGAAGAGTTATGAGGAGCTTTTGCTCATGCCTTACAGCATGATTTCGGAGAAAAGGAAAGAAATGGAGAAATAAGGATTTTCATTACTTAATACTAACTAGTCTTCACTTGGTCTTCCTATAGCCGAGGCTGCAACTCTCCACAATGTCAAGTATTACTTACCTAACAGTAGATGAACATATTGAATGACGAATCTTCTCTAGTACGTTTTGCGCATGGCTTTGGATAGACAGAACGTGAAAAAAATTAATTTTCACTCCACATTTCGAAATGATTTGGACGAGGACGAAAAAAAATTTTGACTGTCTCGGAAACGCGTATTTGAAAACGAATTCCTCAAAATCGTCAGTTACTCGTGCAGTTCCCATATTAGCTACTTCGACACAAATCACCAAGCTACTACTTTAAGGTAATGCATACAGGAGAATCGACAAAACTTTGTTTAAACCAGGTAAAACTCTCAAGATCGGCAGTTCTGATTCGGCTTCAGTGTAAACGGTGTTCAGTGATGATCGTCAATTGTACAACTGGCCAGTGGACGTTTAGCCGGGTTTAAAAAGTGGATTACTCGGATTGTACAACTGGCCTAAGTCGCCCGCTAAATCCGGTGAAATAGCGGGACTTGGCAAGCCTCGCGAACACTTCGAGTTCGATTTCGAGTTGGTGCATGCTCAGAGACTCAAAAATGCAGTCGATTGCTTCCCACTAAGACCGGCATAAACTCCCTAATAGGGAGAGCAATGGCGTGCACAAACTCTCTGCTCCCTAATAGGGAGTTTCTGCACGCTATTGAATCAGCACAATCGATCTATGCCCATGAACAGATGCACTAAAATGGTGCGAAACTTGAACTGCGCATGCGCAGATCGATTGTGCTTTAACGTTCGAGGTGTTAAAATAGGGAGTTAATCTATGCCTTTACTACGTAACCTATTAATTACAACTGATGATTTTGGGCAATTGAAACTGTGAGGTTCGTGCACGTGCCAGCCCCCCGCCCCCCAACATTTCGAGTTCGATTTCGAGTTGGCGCATGCGCAAAGACTCAAAAATGCAGTCGATTGCTTCCCGCTAAGGCTGACACAAACTATCCGTTCACCCGAAGAAAAAACTTGATGTGAACAAACTGAAGAAATCTTTGCCCCGCACAATGCTTCTGATTAGACACCTCCTGGCGCACTACTTTCTATGATGCGAGTAGCACACCCCGCCAATTCAAATGGAATACTCGTAAGAGGTCATGCAAATGACATGTTCATGTAACTACTTTACTTAGTCTGCTTCAGGAAGTGGTTGTTAATAACAGGATGTCAATTATTTGTATAATTTGGTTGGCCTACAATTCGGAAGTTATTGATTACAATTCTTAAGCTGCAACAATTTCACAAGCATTGGTATTTCGTTTCTGCACTTTTGCCCGTTTGATGCAAGGAACGATCAATCGATCAATACTTACTACAAAGTCATCGTATGGTTGAATCGCAGGTTTCTTTCCCTTTCTTTTTTCTCTGGTGTTTGTAGTTGTCCCTTGTAAGTGAGCTTTTTCCTGAGATAATATATTCTGGATATTAACTCAGTGAGATTATTCCAGTGAACATTGCGATTTACTTCGCCAGCAACGACGGATTCATATGCAATAACTAATTGACAACTTTCAAAACGATGCGCTTTTCGCTACTTCAAATAAATTTTCCTCACTTGTCTTTAATTATTGAAGGGCCAGCCACACTCTAGTATAATTTATAAATTTGTTTTATTTTCCGTGGTTTTCAAGACACCCAAAATAGTCACAGTACCAATGATTGATTTTGTATCAAAAATTACAATTCTATTTTTGGCTATAAAATGTCACCAAAAATTAAGGCTGGTATGATTTCAGTCATGTTTTATATAAAATGATAATTTTTATTAAATCATTGATATAAGTTATTTTTTCAAATATTACAAATAATAAATATTAAGTTATAGAGATGAAGACTTAAATCAATTACACAGTTTATACAAAGAATATATTTCTTATAAACTTTTTCACATAATTGAAGAATTTCAAGAAAAAAAAATACAATGTAATATACATTAAAATGAGCATGCTTATGAAATGAACAATAATCAATTTGTAGTAGGTACTTACTAATGGACTTGGATGATATAATAGCATTTCATTGTCTGTAGATAATGGAAAATTTAGGAACAATACACACACCGAGCTAGTTTCAGGAAAAATGCGTTAAATCTTCAAGCATATTTATAATTCTAGATTTGGAGTAAAATGTTTTCTAATGCCACATAAAGTATAATATCTGGGAGAAGATGAGCATTAATAAAAATGGAATTTTATTGATACTCACTTAAGAAAAAAGTTAGTATTGTTAAAACTAATAAAAACAGTATTTAATCATACTAATTTTAATAATATTAACCTTTTTCCTTGTGTATATTGATAAAATACCATTTAAGTGGGAAGGAACAGGACAACTATTAAATAGAATTTAATATTTCAAAAACTAATATTGTTGTAAGTTTTTTTATGAAATAAGTTGTTTTTAACAGTAAGAGGTTTTTTGATCAGGTAATATTACAGAAAAGATGGTAAAAGTTTTTTGGACAAAGAATGCCTTTTTTCTGACCCATGCTAACAAGTGTTGCTACAAGTTTATTCGATAATGTAAACAAATGAGAAGTGATGAAACTATAAGTACTCACATTTAAAGATTTTGTGGGTTAGGGCGGTATTGCAC